GCTCGGGGAATTTGGCATTTCACTTTTGCTAAAAGTAGCAAACGTTGGGTTCACGAGATTCCCTAGATAAAAGTTTCCTTTATGAAAATAAGGTTCTTGTATGAAAAAGTCACGACATGGGATGTACCATTTTACAATAATCTACACACTTAGAAACACCTAATCTTACACGTAAAGGATGAGACGTAAACAAACTGCTCCGAGACTGAAAAGTTCGTTACTCGTCGAAAAGTACGTTTGATTGAGCTGAATTTAGCGTACGTGTTGACTAAATTTTGTGTCAAAATTTACAATCGTATATGTCTTGAGGCTGACACACCTACATTAACATGAATTTTTCTAAGCGTGTAGTTTTGGAAACTTTGTTTTGCCCACGAATGCTTATGATTTTTTTTTTTTTTTAGAATTGTTCAAGGTTTTCTTGAAATTTTGAGAAAGTTTAGTATGATATGAGATAAATAAAAAACGAAAATTATTGTGCATGTAAAAAGTTGGCGGAACTTTTGGAAATTAATCATAATTTCAAAAAGGTAGCCCAAGTAACATTTCAGCAACCATTTGGCATCCGCTCTGATTTATGATGGGTTTATAACGGCAATGATCAATTCATTTAGTTTAAATACAGCATTTCAAAGTGTTAAACATTCCTGCATAGTAATTCAGCTTTTTGCTGTTTTAAAAACCTTTTATAGTTTGGCAAGAAAGTCAAAAACTGTCTTGTTTTGAAAATTAATTTAAAACAGTTTTCAATCTCTCCTTGCAACTGTTCTGTAATTCAAGCATAAACGTTATTAGCTATTGTTTATTAAGATCTTGATAAAATACTTTATAAACGTGTTCTATCATAATGAAAGCAACCATAAAACCATTAGGTTTTGCATTAGAGCAAAAAGCATTTGTTGTTGCTTTTTAGGCTTTTTAAAGTGCATCATAAACTCCCCAATTACTCTGTTTACAAATTGAGCTTAAAAGATGGTTCCTCAGAGTTAATAAAATCCAAATTGATGACAAGGAAATCTCGAAGAATAGACGAAGTAGGATGAAAAACTCAAGTCGATTCCAGAAAAATTTATTTCTTTAGAAGAACCAGCACACCATCAACGACTAACCATCTGGCGGAGAAGAGTAAAGTGAGCGTGACCCTCGCATTCATAAAACATTGTCGAAAGTTTAAAAACATACCGGCCTTCTCCAGATCTTGCGAATGGATGTCAATGGAAATAACAACCCACAGCAAACCACTGAAACTGTTAGTTAGCGGAGATTAGCTGGTTTCCGATCCATAGCAGCGATTTTATTCGGCAAAAGAATCAACTCTTCGAAAATTTCATTCAAGCGTAAATCCCTGCATCGTTGGATGGTTCACTTCTGTAACCATCCGGAAGAAGGGGATCTTTATCGGGAACGATTGCTGTTCAAAATGCGAAATGTTTTAAAACAATATCGCAAACTATCTGAGTAACTGCTTCCAATCCATCGGGAGAAAACCACGTGGAAAAATCCTGGATCTCACAGCGCAACTATCGAAAGATAAACAAACTTTGACGTTTAACTTTTTGCAGGCTACTTTGCCTCCATAAATGCTGCCATAAATGTGAACGAGTTAGGATCAAGCAAAATGGCCTTAGATAAATACAATTCAGCCTGCAATTTTTCTTCATAAGAGCCATTTTAAAACCTTATGAATTTGTTAAGGATTTCTTGAAAGCAAAACAACTTTTTCACAAATGACCCATGAAAATCAATTTGTTTGTCACCGCCATTTTACAATTAGTTTGCTTGCTTTTTTTTCAATCTTCGATTTTCAACCTGTATTTTGGTAAATTTACCAATAAGCAAATATTTAAATGCGAAAATCTTTTAAAAAATCTCGGCCTAGCTCGATCTGAAGATTTTTTTTTTTTTTCAAAGTTAAAAAATTAGTCAAATCAACATTTTACGAGGGCGTACTTATTTTTTTCGATGTTTTCACGTACATTTCACATAACATTTAATAGGCACTTAAAACTAGACCACTCAATGAGAACTATTGTAATAAATTTGGATATTCAACCAGATTTTTATACCATCAGTTTATATTTTAATTATTATGATAAGATCGGATTCATAAATCCTTTTCTATCTTGAACGATGCTTTCCTAGTGGATTTAGCAAGCGGCTAGGGAAAATGGCTCGGAAAGGGTTTTTATTGATGCTAAATAGCTTTTGTTGTAGCTTTCAAATGGTTCTTAATGCGTTCGTCATACAACCTTTTGCAGTAAATCAAACTTGAAGAGCTTTGCGAATACAACCTTCAGAACTTTCTACAGGGTGGGCCAACTAGACATATTCTAGTCTTAATGAGGTTTTGGTGGATGCATTAATGAAAAAAATAGCCTTGATGAGGGTTTTATGAATGTTGTTTTATAGTTGCTTTGTAGTATTTCATAAAACTTAAAATGATGCTTGGGAGATGTTCAAGGAGCATTAGAGCCATTTTCGGCCCTTGGCTTTTTGTTGTGTGGCAAATGCCATATTCGCCACCTGTAGAGTACGGTGCTGCTCATCATGCATCAGCGATAAAGTGCAAATGTTTTGCAACGTACCATATAACTTAAATAATACAGTATTTGCATCGTCATCAACTCCAGGGGCGGATGCATCGTTATTTTAGGCAGATTTATATTTTAAGGGCACCTGCCAATATTGGGTGCGACTACTTAGCTCAAATTTAAGGAATACAGCACTGTTCAAACCCTTGATGACTTTCATGAGAAACTTTAGTTCAAAGAAGTAGTGCTAGAAAACTAAATTTTAAGGTACACCCTAATTCAAAACATTGCTCTAAAATGAGAACGTTAAGAAAAAGTAACTATACTAACTTAAGAGAAAGTAACTATACTTCTGCAAAGCTGCTTAGAATTCATATTCCAAAAATTTGAAAGTTATAAATATCAGTTAATTTGAGGACCACCCTTATGATGACAAGTACCAACATAAGGAATATTTTAAGTACAAAATCTTCACTGAAGACCCAAATCACCTAGATATTGGAACAAAAGTATAAGAACATTTTTTTAATCTGTCCTTAGGGTGGCCCTCTGAAAAACCATCATTTGCGTGTAACATTTTTAATTGAAATTTCTTATGAAAGTTAGATAGACTTTTAAAACATTATGTGGGTAAAACATTAAAACATCGCATGGATCTCTTTATAAAGAAGTTATACCCTGTTATTTTCGAAAAACAATGAACTATGGAAAATTAAATAATATATTAAGGCGATTCTTTATAAGAAAAATTTCAATAATTTTTAATCAGCAAAAGGTATCGACAAGTTTTGCGCGGTAAAAAATGCGTCTTCAAAAGCTCTTAAAGTTATATCCAGACACCTTTGCTGAAAAATTTAAATATTAAATAGAGCAAAAATACTGGATAGAGACACTCTAAGTTAATTAAGGAAAATTGCTCCAATTCGGTCATTAAGACTTATGAAAAAATTCTCCATCAAGTATCTTGAAATTACCTGAGCTACACCTCTGTCAAAATTGTTTACCTATATTTCTACAAATAAAAATAATAAATTTTTGATTTCAATAGTAATATCAACCACCCTAGTAGCACAAACATAAAGGCTTAACTGTTAGGAACAACTTTGTTGAAGACTTTTCTTTGTTCTAATGTTTCAATATCATGCTATGAAAACATCTATTCTGCTAAATTCCCATTTTGGACCACTGTTCCACTGCACAGTGGTCCAGAAGGCAGATTTAGGTGGAATTATATGTTTTAAGCCTGAAATTGAAACTTTAGAGAAGGAAATTTTAAGAACAAAAACTTCTTCGAAGACGCTAAGTGTCCAACTATTGAAACAAATGTACTAGCACATTTTATTTAAATTTGTCATTAGAGTGGTCCTATGAAAACCATCTTTTGCCAATAACTTTTTTATTTGAAATTTCTCATGAAAGTCATCTTGTAGAGACTTTTAAAACTCTTTAAGACGAATGTTTCATAGCGAAATTTGTTGCCTATATCTCTTCTAATAAAAAAGATAAACCCAAATATAGTAAAATGTATGAATAAATTCAAATTGATTTAATACCAGTTTAAAAAATAACACAGCTCCAATTTTTTCACATTATTAAGAATAGCATACGCGCATACTTTTTTTTGTGTTGCCCCAACCAGAGATATTAACATTTGAAAAGTGCATATGTTAAGTATAAAAACGTCAATAACTCTTGATCGGTGAAAGATATTGACAAGCTTTGTGCAGCAAAAAATTGTGCCACCTTTGCTGAGAAATTCGAAATAAGAAAACTAGAGCAAAACAACTGTTTTTTAGAGCCACCCTAACTCAATTCAAGAAAATAGCTCTAAATCGGCCAATTTAAGAGATACAACAAAGTTGTTCCAAACAAGTTGCTTGAAATTAGCTCAGCTATAACTTTGCCGAGGAATGTATACCTTAATTTATTCAAACAAAAAAGTTAGATTTTTGATTGAATGATAATAGGAACCACCCTAGAGCTCATTGTCATAAAAATGAGGGCCTAACTATAAGGAACAACTTTGTAGAAGAGACTTTTAGTCTGAAGTCTCAATTTCAGGCTCAAAACATATCATTCCACTTAAATCTGCATTCTGGACCACTGTGCCACTGGTAACGAGCCATATGTATGTAGCTGTCAGTGAACCCCAGCCATCGTTCAGCTCTCCTGACCGGTCATTTGATAAAATTTAATCAGTGCCCAAAAGCTACCAATATCAAACTCAAAACTTCAAAACAACGCCGTCACGATATCAGTTTTAATTAACTTCAAGCATCCTGTCGATTAAACCTCATCCAGCAGAGATTACGCCATCCAGTAATTTTCCCCAAACGGACGCAAATCAGCCCCCCAAGATCTCATCATAATCCTCCCGAACCATCTCAGCGCATTGGTGGTCTACCCGCTAACCAGAACTTCTATTCCCACTCTGACCGCCATCTCCTCCCTTCTTCCGACTTTCCGTAGGTCATAATGGGCGGCGGTCGTCGTGAGTTCCTCCCGAATACCACCACCGACGACGAAGGCGTCCCCGGCCAACGGACCGATGGCACCGATTTAATCAAACACTGGCTTCATCACAAACAATCCCACGGCCATCACCGTGCCGCATACGTACAGAATCGTGATCAATTATTGGAGGTAATTAGACACAGAGGCAAGAAAAGAAACAACTAGGACCAAGATGTTGGCTTTTTGCTGACCCGAACACGAACGTGGTCATTGTTATTCATAATAATTTGATGTTGTTGTCCTCCTCTCCGATCTAGGTCGATGAAGATACCGAGTACTTGCTGGGGTTGTTCGATGCAAAGCATCTTCCCTATCACATCGACGCCGACGCCAAGGTGAAACCGACGCTGGAGGAGATGGTCGGCAAGGCGTTGGATGTGCTGGAACGGGCCAGCCACCATCGGGGATATTTTCTCTTTGTGGAAGGTACGTGACTTTTCCGGTGATTGGTTGGACGGTGCGGGTGAAAGGCTGGAGAAGTTTTGAGTGTGCTTGTGCAATAATATTCTATCATAAATCCGAGCCGATGTTCTGGCCAGCTCGAACGATTTCCATAGAGTTACCAGCTGGTTTGGTTTGAAATTGTCTCCAGAGTTGTTAGCAGTCTGATAACCGCTTTAATGAACGTTGTAACTTTCGTTCGTCTCGCATGAATAGGAGGACGCATTGACCATGGCCATCATTACACCCAACCATTGCGGGCATTCGATGAGACGGTGGAATTTGCCAAAGCAGTCGAGCTAGCCCGTCAGAGGACATCCCTCGAGGACACCCTGATAGTGGTGACGGCGGACCATTCCCACACTATGACCATGAGTGGGTATTCGGTGAGTGGTTGAATTGCTTGAATTTTATCTTGAACTGAATCCAATTTCCCCTTTTCCCTGGTGTTTCGCATGCAGAGTCGTCGGAACGACATACTCGGTATCAACGATAGCCAACCGGCGGAGGATAGTCTACCGTATGCAACCATTAGCTACGCGAACGGACCCGGCTATGAGCGCCACGTAGATCGAGATGGACGATTGAACCTGAACCAGGTGAACATGCATGACCAGCGATTCGAGTTTCCCAGCACCGTCCCCCTAGGCCTGGAGACGCACGGTGGAGATGATGTGGCCGTGTTTGCTAGCGGCCCATGGGCTCATTTATTCACCGGGACGTTCGAGCAGAACTACATTCCCCATGCCATGGCCTACGCAGCTTGTGTCGGATCCGGAAGGACGGCCTGTGGCGATCAGTAGGACCCTGTTCCGAGCGACGCCGTCACAAAACTGAATGAATCTCAAAAAAAACCATTTATCAAAACAGCAATCTTTTACTCCGCATTACAACGGCTTCCCACCAGGAATTAAAATTGTGAATCGCCTTGAAAACGTGCAAAAACAAAAACTAAAAGGAAATTTAATTTTCTTCATCATTTTTTTTTTTCCACCCGAAGAGAAAGGCAGCCGCAATAAGTTTTCACTTTTTCGTCCGCAGACTGCCCCACCCATCATCCCTCGCGGCCACACGCGCGTTTGCACTTTAAATAAATGATTGCAATTGTGTGCTTAAGCTAGAATTAATTATTTCGCACTCCCCGGTAGCTCGCGCGGGCTGCAGCTCTAAAAGGAAAAGATCACAACCCCTTTTAGAAATCTTGCCTGGTTTTGTGCACTCGTCCAACCCGGGTCAGGCAAGCGGAAGTTGAGCGAAACTATTGAAGATTGAAGACCTTTGTCGTTCTTTTGTCCTGGAGATGATGTGAAACTATTTTATTCTATTCTTTGCCCTGCATCAAAGAGTGTGGAATGGTGGTCAACCGAAGGTTGAACCAATGATACTTTGTTTAAACTTGCTTTGTGTTGGGGTGGGGATGTGTTTAATTACAATTAAAAGGGTACTAATTAATCATTGAACCAAGTTGGCACAGTGGGAATGCGAGATGAATGGTCGTCATCGGTAGTTAAGGGAAGATTTAATCAGCAGGAAGCAATCCTGTATTGAATAAATTATGCGGATTCATTTGAATATGATCACGGTTCCTTGAGAGGACAGGAACTAAAGCAATGCTGGGAAATTCTTGTGCTAGAAGATCATATTGGATTACAACCCCAAATATCAGTTAATTTCACAAGAGCAGGGGACAAACTTCACAAACTTGCACATAAGCGATCATCCTAGTGCAATAGTGATAAACATACAATCAAACATCAAATCTAACTCAAAATCATGATGATACATTGATTCTCATCGGGTGAAAAATGTGGAACAAGGAATGTCACAATTTTAATGAAACTCGACATGTCCAACGGGTTTCAGAACCTCGTGTGAATTTTCGTTAAGTTAGAAAACAGATGTAGGTCATTCCATCTCAAGCAGAGCGTCGCAATATCAGCTTCAATCGACGAAATCGATGTGACGAAGAGACTGCTAGCTTTCTTCTTCTGTTGAAGTCGAGCAGCTTTTCATCATTCTAGCACCTCAATCGGCGTCTACAAACAAATTTGCAATCGTTTGTCTCTCATTCTCCCGTCGCTTCACTCGTGTTTCTATCAAGCTTCGGTGAAGCGGACGAAAAGCCGGCACCGGTGGTGTAGTGGTAAGCGTTACTGCTTTCTAACACCCCGATGGGTCTGGGTTCAATCCCAGCCGAGGTCGGTGGGATTTTTCTGAGGCATAAAAATCTCTGGTCACGTCTTCCTTCGGAAGGGAAGTAAAGCCGTTGGTCCCGGCCCATGTGTGTTTGAATGGGTGCGATATCCTACGCAGGTGTGGAAGCTGCCTTCCTGCACATTCGATTGCCGTCAATGGATGGCAATCGATGTCCGTCGGTGATTGACACTAGATTGCGGAACAGATACCGACGTTAAATAAAGGAAAGGAGCAAGGTTGCAAAGACTCATTTCAGCTAAAATAATGTTTTTCAGAATAATAAAACCAAAAGATGGTATGATGGCATGTTTTACTTGTGACTTACAAGAATAGGTTACAAAGTATGCGTTGGAAACATAAAACCTGCAAATTTTGCTTTCTATTAGTCACAATCAGCGATTTGCTGATCGCTGAGTGAGTGAGTGAGTGAGTGAGTGAGTTTGTGAAAAATCGCTGATTGTGACTCTCATGAAGTGAAATAAACAGGTTTAATATGTCAAACACATTCTTGGCAACCTCTTCTTGTATCCTACCAATTCAAAATTTGATCATGGCATCTAATTATTCCATAATTTAGAAAAACATTGTTTTAGCTGAAATGAGTCTTTGCAACCTTGGAAAGAAGAAGAAGAAGCGGACGAATGAAAGAGCGCTCGATTTTGATCTGTTTATCTTTCATGAAGCACATCAACCGAGGTTTCATGACGTATTTGACGGAAAATGAAAATACACCATTCCATTGCGAAACGATTTAGTGGTTCTCACATTTTTGTAAAAATTTGTAGTTTTGTTCCTTATCGCAAAATATTAGACCCGACTATAATGCGACAAGTCTACCATGCGTCTCCATTTAAATCAGTGACTGTAACATGGGTACGACGCATGGTAGTCTTGGCGCATATGAATATTGAGCAGGGTTCTGCATTTTCGAAACAAAAAAAAAAGAAAATGAACCCTCCGCAGAATCGCTTCATTTCTAGCAATATCGTTTTCGTGTAAGACATTGTGTTTCTTGATATCGAGTCACGATGAACATTCCTCCTGTTCAACATGGCTTGGCTATCGCTTGTTTCTTTCGTCAAGATCATCAGTTCAGTTTATTTGCAGCAACAACTTGTTTCAATTGACACCAGTGATGCAAAATATCATGACACTCAAGTGACACTCGTCTACGCATCAACCGACTTTCGCTGACAAAACGTTTTGTCACGCAGTGAAAGGTAGACCCATGGTAAACAACAATCACCAGTAATGGTCGCTACTCACAAGTAAAACGATACACTCGCTGCTGATGATGAAAATCACAACGAAACAGTGGAGACTTCTACAGTATGTACGATCATGAGAAAAAGTGAAACGACAGAATAATATGAAAACAATGCCTACGCATTCCAAGTTCGTCTCGGCAGGCGCGACTGTGTGAGTTCCAAACAAAGCAGGCAACATTAAACGGAAGCTGTTGGGCTCACGCACCAACACACTCACATAAGTAAGCAAAGCAGCAACTGCTTCAAAACGAGCACAGATAAGTGTCGTGATTGTCGGGAATGACCAGATCGGTGATGGATCACAACCGAAGACGACATTCACCAGTTGCTTTTTACTTCTTTCGTCAACTTGATGGATGGTCATGGAGAGAGCTTCGACGAGCACATTGATAGGAATGTACAAAGCGTTACTACCATCAGCTGTTTGACGATCGTGATTGTGATAGGTTGCAACACTGATTGACACAATGAAATACTCGAAAACTGCTAGATATCATCCCGATTCCAAAACAACCCACATTGATCGAGTATTTTACACTTTTTCTGAACCAAATCCGCCATCAACTACTTCAAAATGGCGTTGAATATCGATTTTCATTCTCTAGACGTCATCCCGATTCCAAAAATACTCATATTGATCGGTATTTGACAGTACCCAACTAACATTTTCAGCTTTGTAAGCCAACTTTTCCAGCGTTGTGCTGTAAAGTAGCTGAAAAGAAGCTGCAGATACAGCTACAAGCAAAAGCTAGCAAAATAGTTTTGGAGAGCGTTTATTCAACTTTCTCACAGTTGGAGGCAAACCAGCCCAAGGCTGAAAGCCTCCCTAATAAAGTTAAATAACAATAATAATAATAACTTTCTCACAACCATTATTCAATTTGTCAGTCGCACTGAATAACATCAGCCAATAAACGCTAATGTCACTTCTATACACACACACACTAATCAACTTTCAACTTGTAGCTTCAAAACAAAGCTAACAAAGTGAATATATTACTCATTTGATGGCTTCTAAACAACCAGCCACTCTTGCTGAATAACATAAACATCAAAAGTGCTTTTTCAACAACTAAACAACCTGTACTCAGCTTATAAACTATGTTAGAGCAACTTCGGAAGCATTTTCACAGTCAACTAGGTTTATTTTTAGACGTGTGCAGTTTTACAGCTTTTACTCTGCTCTTTTATAACTAGTCGAGAAAAGTGATTCGTGTGCACTATTATAAAGCCTCTACTCAGCGATTTTGTTGTAGAAGGGAATGTTGATTTGTTTACATAAGTTCAAAGTGTTGGCGTAGCACAGTTGGTAGTGTCAAGGTTTGCCAATGAGGTCGTCTCGAGTTCGATTCCAGGTTCCGGTGCAGGGTATATAATTTGGTGATGATTTGTAACTAATTTCGATTAATTTGATTCACAGCAAAATAAACTCAATAAATTCCTTCATAAAAAAGCGTAAACAGTATTTAACCCGGCTTCAAGAGAAAGCTGTGTAGTGATTATTGGATAACCGGGAAAAGGTTGAATAAGCGCCTTTCAAGTTCACACACAACTAAACAGCAGGATAACAGCTGTATAGAAGCGTTAATGGATATGCAATAAGAGCTTCTCCCGACCGTTCCAACAGCAATAAGTAGCTGACTAAGTTCGCCAGATTTGCTTGTATAGAGGTTGAGTAAAGGTTTCCTCATATCGTATAACGTTTGAATACAGCTTGAGACTGTATAAATAAAATGAGTAAAGCGTTTACATTTTGAAAATTGTTAGTTGGGTAGTTCCCACTTTTATTAAACGGAAGCCGCCATCTTGGATTTCAAAATGTCGTCGGTGATCGATTTCCATTCTCTAGATGACATCTTGAGAGCGTGACATAATATGTGCATCACCCCTTATTGATGAGTATTTTCCAGTATTTCCCACATTGGCTTGAACCGGAAGCCATCATCTTGGTTTTCAAAATGGCGTCGCATATCGATTTTCGTCACCCCGATTCTAAAATCATCCATATTGATGGGTCGGCGTCAGTATTTTCCACTTTTTTTCTGAATTCGGAAGCCGCCATCATGGATTTACAAATGGTTCATCAATTCCGACCTCTAGGCGGAAATTTTTGGCACCGGTTTTGAAAATATGATTCCGAGATAATCGCGTTTAAAGTTTCAAGTTGGGTTTAGTCCACTATAAGTGAATATTTTTGTACGTCGCATAACTTTCACAATTTTCATCGGATCAACTTGATCTTTTGAGGAAATATTCTTGACTTTATATACTTTCGATTAGGACAATAAAAAAAATCGATTTTTTGAAAGTTTGCATGTAGGCGTAACCTCTTAAGAGGGTATTACACTTAGAAAAACTAACTTTTTCTACAAACAAGATAGACTTATGACGTCTTCAGCAAAGTAGATCTAATCATTTCATGAAACTTTGCCCAAGACACCAATTTTCTACATCTTCAAATTAATAAGATATATTTATTTTTCTTTCACGAGT